GACAAGTAATAAAAGAAAAAAATGATCATTTTGTGTGCTGCTTATTTTGGAAGGGTGGGGGATAATTTGGCGAAGTAAAGAAAATATGCAATACCTCGATATTCAGCTATCGGAATCACATGAAAATATCACCATTTGATTCGTTTAGACATGACGAATCAAATGGTGATATTTTCATGTGATTCCGATTGTTGAATATCGAAATATCGTCTTGGAAATCACCATATCGGTATGTTAGATCTTCGCCCCCCGTATATTAGATCTTTGCCAATTTATATTAACGTTAAATTTTGGCATACGGAACGATATCTCGATGCCCTGTGATTGAAATCACATGAAAATATTACCATTCGATTCGTCTAGACATGACGAATCGAATGATAACGATAGTATTTTCATGCGATTCCGATAACTATTTATCGAGGTATCGTTACTTCGCCACAATACCCCCTTTTTTACCTTATATATTATTTTTGTTAAAGTAATAAAATTATTAAATTATTTAGAATATAAACATATAAACATAAGGTAAGTGAGGGTATTATGGCGAAGGACGAAATAGCGATATCTCGATCGCCAGTGTTCGGAATCGCACGAAAATGCCACCATTTGATTCGCCGCAACGAGACGAATCGAATGATGGTATTTTCGTGCGATTCCGATCACTAGGGATCGAAATATCACATATTTTTACTTTAGTACGTCATAATACCCACACAACTAAAATTTTAAAAATGTCAATTTTGTTCTATATATTATTTGTAATGTCATCATATTTTTTACTAGGTTTATGTAGAATTAATTATGCTTTTTATTCATAATAAATGTTCCAAATATTTGTTGTTTATAAAAGAGTTTTCCTAATTTTGATATTAACTTCGTCATAATATCCTTTTACCTTATATATATATATATATATTGTATCATTTTAAAGCTAATTGATTGTATTGTTGAAAAGTAATACAAGACTTGTGGCAACTTAAAATGCAAGGACTGTTTTGGTTGGAAAGTAAAAAAAATCTTTTTTTTCACGTTTTATATATGAAAAAATTTTCCCACGCTTTATACATGTATATGAAAATTGAAAATTTCAATAATTATTTCTAAATTTTATATCATTTTAAAGCTAATCAATTGTATTTTTGAAAAAATGAACAAGACTTATGGAACTTTTAAAACGAAAGTACTGTTTTAATTATAAAATCAACAAAAAAATTTTTATGTGTTTTACTAGATAATTTTAAATTGGGCGATACTTTTGGGGTACTGTACGTACTTAGTTGTGTGTATTTCTTGGCACGCATAACATCGGTAATTACCTTTTTAACGTTAACATCAAATAATACATATACATGTATTTAATAACCGTTTTTACCTGACATCGACGACAACCAAAAAATTCCAACATAAAAAATGTCCGTCGTCTTCTGGGATACGCTAAATCAGAAAAATTTTTGAGTTTGATAAATTTTCTGATAAAGAGGTAATCTGAAATGGAACATTTGGTGAAGTCTACAAAGCCGAATTGAAAGATGAATGTTTAACTGTCGCTTTAAAATGACTATATAAAAATAACATGTATAACAAACAAACGGTTTATTAAAGAGGTATCGTTTATTTAAGAATTAATGGATCCATTTAAGACTAGCCAGTATTAATGAAATCATGCTTCAGATTAATTATCATAAAAATATTGTTCGGTTTTACGGAAATTATTCGAGGTAAAATACATTTTATTCTTTTTCAAAGTTGCTAATATAATTCATTAATAAACAATGTTCTTTCAGATCCGACTTCTAAGAAATACATGCTTGTTTTGAAATATGCTAGTGGCAGAACTCTTAAAAAATGTTTAAACGTTAATTTCAGCAACCTGAGTGGAATGACAAATTGAGTTTGGCTAACAGCTCGTTAAAGGAGTAAAGTGTATACATGATGCAGGCATTATTTATCGAGATTGGTAAGAAGAGTTTATATATTTTCAGTATAGCGATAGTTATGAATTTGATTTGTTAATATTAATATTGAATAATCATAAAGAAAAAATTATAATTTCAGATTTAGGCTATTCAAAGTTTTCGAATTAATTTTGACGTTATTGAAGATAAGACGAAAAAGCTGATATTTTCAGCATTTGAGTGCTTTTTGAATTTTTCCAGTGGTCTTCCCATTAATCAATATGGGTGTGCTTGTTCATCAGAAAAAAAGAATTACGAAATTCCAGATAAATGAGTTAACGTTACTTATAGTAAAAATTTAAATTTCACTATTTTTAAATTGAGCCTAATTTTATTAGTTAATATGGATTTAAGAGTGATTAAAGTAATCAGTAAATTCGTAATGTTATATACAAGAATTGAGGATTCTGCGTATTGTAATCGAAAGAGAAGCCATTTCAATATGACATTATAGTAAATAAGCTAAGATTTAAAAAATAAATACTGAAATATTTTTTTTCAACAAAATTATAATAGAAGTTATGTTTATAATAGAAAGGAACCAAATAGTTTATCAGTAGTAGAATTTAGTGGTCAACAATCAGAACTACTTGCATTCATGAGAGAAAATTTATTTCCCTAGCACAATACGTATTACATTCAAACGACGAGAAAAATTTCAGGAGAAATTACAATGAATAAGTAAAAGAAAATTGATTATTGAAAATATACGAATGCGCAGCAAACCTTTTTTTTGTGAGAATTAAGATTTGACGCAGGAGTATCCAGCTTTTAAAATAAACATCATATTAATTAGTAACTATTTTTAAAATGCTAAAGCGCAATCTTATTCTACTCGTATAAATGCTATACTAAATTATTAATTAATTAAACTTTTGCTATCCGTATACAACAATCGGAACGGTTTTTTCTATTTCTGTTACAAGTCAGTTATATAATAAAAATCTGGAAATAGTAATTTTGTTTATAGTACAATGAAAAATTATAAAGTTTAATGAAAATTTAATGGTACATTCTTTTATAACCTGAGGATCAAGTTTATTTAAGACTGAGAAGTATGCTTTAAAAATTTTCTGCAATTTTCTTTTGACCTCAATAAGGAAAAAGAGTAAAAAGCTAATTACAAGTACATTTTGTAAAGTAATTTGTTCCTCATATTATAAATAAATTCATGTGATTTTAACATTTTTTCATCTCAGAATCACATTTTTTTTGAAATTATGTTGTTTGTTACTACATGTATCATAATGAATAAAACATTGATTAATTATCTAAATTAGTAAGAATTTGTACATATCGATATATGTACGTACTATTCATATACGTAAAAAGAAACAAATTGACGGTGACTCTCACAAGAAATGGAACACGCGATCAAAATTTTTATCTTCGTCAATATCATTCTAAACAAAATAAAAAAGTACTCATTTTGAATTACAAGAACTCTAGTATTTTTTATATATTTTGACAACAGATAATTTTGTAAAACTGGATAATTTAAATTCAAATTTCAATTGATAAATTTCTCACATTGTAGAACTTTTTTTCTATGACGGATTCAAATTTGGACCACTAATTAATAATGTAATACTCTACAAAGTCCGCCTATGTACCAATTTTTACAAAAACTGGCACAAATTTATCGATATTTAAGATCCTGAAGGTTCGAATCTCTGTAGGAGCATTAATTCGATTCTTTATTTACTAACAGAGATTTGAACCTTCAGGATTTTAAATCTCGATAAATTTTGAGCCAATTTTTGTGAAAATCGGTACACAGGCGGACTTTGTAGAGTATTACATTATTAATTAGTGGTCCAAATTTGAATCCGTCATAGAAAAAAAGTTCTACAATGTGGTGCGTAGTAATAAATTGTAAGTTATAGTAATAGTAATAGTTATTATACTAATATTAGTAATCATTTTAATAACAGATAGTAGTAGTGGTAGTAGTCATAAATTATTTAGCGATAATTAATGAATACTGGCTCTCAATATAAGAAAGGTGTTCGGGTCCATAGTGAAAAATTTACAAAACTTTCTTATATCAAGTGTTTATTAGTAACTTTCTTATATCGAGTAAATTTATTATAAAGCGATTTGAGCTCGACCTTCTTATATCAAATTTTAATTAGTCTTTCTTATATCGAGAGTTTCTTATATCGAGAGTCACTTGTAATAATAATGATAATAAATAACGATAAACTTGTCCCAGATTCATTTTACCCGGCTCACCTTCCCGTCATTTTTTAGTAGTGTTACAAGTTAGAGTTAGACATTTATTTCCCGTATTTTTGCGTTGTTGATTTTCTTGTGCGGATTTGTTTTGCCGAGTTGATCAAAAATTTGCGCATTCTCATTGGTTTCGAGATCGTCAGGGATCGGAAGAGAAAAGCGATCGTGAGTGATAGTTTCCAGATTTGCCAGACCGGATAATGATCATTTTAGTATAGATCGTCAGGATCGGAACTTGTCACAGATTCAATAAATGCGACTGATGTACATTGATGTTCATGTATATACGTATATACGACATCAGAAATCATACTGGCTTGTTTGGATTCACAGTTGATGATTTTAATTTTTTTGCATTTAGCGTTAGAGGCACATTCTCTCTCATGGATTCGAAAACAGCAAAACACTATTATCAAAGTAAGGAAACTGAAACTTTAAAACTGGACATTCAATATTTTAAATTATTTACATTAAATTACCAAAGTCAAACTTATCGTTATAACAATAAAGGATGGATTGTCTCTGCAAAAATTTGCTGTATTACATTGTCATAATACTTTTTGAAAATCAATATAAATATTTGACTATTTTATCGTTACATCAATATTAATAATACCCCCCCAAAATACGCAGTAAATGAGAACTGCCATTTTGAGAAATTATAACCCTTTTTCTGGTTCAAAATGGGTTTTGAAAGCAGGATTCTGGACAGGTTTACTGTCGTGTATAATTTCTGGAATTTCAGGATCGATTGTATTTTTGGTCAGCCGATCGTTTGGTGTAAATTTCTCTTGTTCCAATCAGCTATCACTCTCCAACTGCTTCTCCGACGCCAAGAGCTGTCGCAATCTGCTTGCGTAGTGGCATAACCTGTGTTACTTCTTGTCTTTGTGAGTACCATCGTTCATTTCTGCCAGTAGTCTTTTGCTTCATCTCACTACCGTGTAAAAGAAAAAGCGACTGAAAATGAAAAATACATGTATCGATGCTGAATATCAATCGTCGATCAGTATCCAAGTTTTGTTGGTGCGCCTGGAGCTATTGTTAAAGTAACGTGTCATATTGATATCGATATACATGTATTAGCGTTAGTAATTTATAGGATATTTCGAAAAGTTAAATTTGTATGAAAAATTTATATTATTCTTTTAATATACTATTTGGATTATGAATGATGTTATAAATACATGCGAATAAAGCAAACAATCTGTTAACGTTAAATTATTGGAAATTAAGAAAACTTGCGATATCACAATTCTAAGAAAATCTATAGCTTGTTTATATACTAGAACTATTTTATCCAAGAAAATTAAAAATTATTTTTTGACAAAGAAACCTAATAATAATCAAAATCTATATAAAAACGCATCTGTGTAGAAACATGTGTTTTTTTCAGTTTCAAGTTTAATTTTATCGTTATATTTGGATAATGAAACTACATGGGCCAATAAAAAGTTTGCAATTAATATTTTTATAAAATCTTCGAAATCAAATTGCATTTTGTGAATGCTCAGTAGGATTAATTAAAGTCATGTCGGTCCCTAAAAAACATCGAATGTTATTACCCCATAACAGAAAATAAAGACATAAAAGAACAAATAGAAAATAATTACATGATGTTTCGCTGACTTTTGACTTTAAATCCTGTATTTTGGTGAATGCTTTTTTGATTTTAGATATTCTTTTCGCCGATTAGATGCTTTTTTGATTTTAGATATTCTTTTCGCCGATTAGATGCTTTTTTAAAATCCACAATACTTACTTTATTGAACATAGACTTTATATCTCGTGCAGTTGGTCGTTTCCGCGGGCCGGATGCCCAACATTGAGCCAAATCTCTCAGTGCTAGTCTGACATATTACTGGCCAAAAGTCATCACAAATTTTAAATATAAGCCCTATATCGTGATCAAGCTTACAAATTGAGCGTTCTCCATCATGTCTTTTTTTTTGATATTGCATTATTTTTCTTTTCTTCACATATCAATATCACTCGTTTTCATTAATTATCAATAGAAATATTTCCTTCGTTTGTCGTACTGGCACTGCATTATTTGGCTTTTAAAGCATAATAGGCGTAAAATAGTTTAAAAGGATGCACAAAAATGAATTTTTCACAAATTATAATATTTTTAACAATATGATTGAAGTAAATATGCTCCCTATATTATGAAGAATACATTTATGTGAATATACTAGTTTTCCATTACACAACAAATAAATATTTAATGTTCATTTTTTATCATAAATTGTATTTTAGAGTTTAGTAAGATATTTAAAAGTGGCATTAGGTACAGTGACTCTGGAATTTTTATCTTCGTCAATAACATTCCAAACAAAATAAAAAAGTACTCATTTTGAATTACAAGAACTCTAGTATTTTTTGAATATATTTTGACAATAGATTATTTTAGTCAATTTTGTAAAACTGGATAATTTAAATCAAAATTTCAATTGATAAATTTCTCTATTACCAGAAATATCAAAAAGAAATTTGTCATTTGGGATCCCGATATCTCAACATCCGGTAACCCATTCGAACAAAGATATCACCATTAGATTCGTATAGTCGAGACGAATCTAATGGTGATACCTTTGTTCGAATGGATTACTGGATATTGAGATATCGGGATCCCAAATGACAAATTCCTTTTTGATATTTCTGGTAATATATTGTAGGGGTGTGTATACTACTATACTATTATTTCTATCTATTATGGTGCATAAAATCTAAAGTCATCAAATGTTTGTATTTTATAAAATGTATAAACTTCTTTACTAAGAAGTAAATACAAAATTTAATCCGTGAATATGATAGAATAGGCATATTCACGGATTAAATTTTATATTTACTTCTTAGTAAAAAAGTTTATACGTTTTATAAAATACAAACATTTGATGACTTTAGATTTTATGCACCATATAATATTACTATTATTTTAAATATGAAAAAAATAACCAAAGAATCGATTAATCAAAATCAAAATCAATTTTATAATACAATCTTCCAATTAATTATTTATTATACTTGAATATAGAAATTTCACAATTTATTACAAAGTTTTTTATTAATTATAATTCAAAAGTTATGGTAGTGAAATGATCCGGTTATTTTATAAAAAGTCTAAAACTATAACATGTATTTCTAGAGAATATGCATATAATAGAAATTGTAGAAAAAATCAAAAACTTCTAAAATAATCACATGCTTTATCCATGAGTATTCAAGAAAATAGAACAAATTAAAAATAATATTGTTCAAGTATTTTAAGTAGATTTCCGCACTTTTTATTATCACTTATGAATTTTCCTTTTTGTTTCTTCTACTGACTCCCAAAGATTTTCTTTAGTTTTTTTAAAAGAGCTAAAAACGGAATCTGAAACAGTTTCTGACCTTGTTTCTTTCGAAGTTTCTTTATCCTCCTTTATCACGGGTTCATTCATTTTTTCTACTTTACTACCCGCCCTAGAATTAAGCATTAGTCAGTGGTTTTGCCCTAGTTTAAACCTAATTCGGGTGCCGATATAAACTAGATGCTCAATTTGCGGTTTGCTTCACCGATTTCATAGCAATAGTCTTCCTCGATAGCAAGTAGGTAAATTTCGCGTTTGTGATTATTGAATCTGGAATAAGTTGATATCGCAGTAAAATCTAGTAACAGAACATTGATTTCACACGGTTGGGGATTAGGCTTAGGATAAGAGTTATCGTTATATACATGTATATGTAAAATTAGCTCGCCGATATTTTTAATTAGTGCATTAAATTTATCGTTATATTGCATCTGCATTATGATCATCGTAGTATAGATCGTCAGGATCGAAAATAAGAGTGAATCGGAATTTGTCCAAAATTCAATATTTGTCACGCAAATCAAGGGGTTAATTTGTAGATTATCCAATAACGATAAGATTAATGAGTAAATGGAGTGATTTACATGGTAAAAAACCAGTTTTCTTTGCCCTGTTTATAATATACCACCCTTTCGAGGTAAAACTTTGTCGAAAACTCTCAGGCGCAACTGGTGAACACTTTTCATGGCAAGAACTTACGAACTGGAGAATAGACGTTATTTTTCCACATTCTATATATCGTTTTGTTCGCGGAGACAAGCGAAAAATTCAAAAATGCGATTATATACATCGATTTTTTAAATTGATCGACATCATATGTTCAAATATGTAATGTAAATCATAGGTTACGTAAAAATCACATGAAATGTATGTTCCAAGTTTGGGTTGACTGTAATAAGTTACCAAATATAGATATCGAATGCTAAAATTTATTAATTTGATCTTTTTGTTGTTACATCATTTCACGAAAAACAGCTATCTAACTTTTATATTTTATATACAAAAATTTCTTCTAGATAAATACAATTAGTCAAAATACGAATGGTAAAGGTCAAATATCACGACTTTATTAAACAATGATCAATAACTAAAAATACATAAACATTCGTATATAAAGGATCATCACAAAATTGTATACGTATGTCTACCATGGGATTTTAATAGCTCTTTCAGAAATTATGGGTGAGAGAAAGTATTTTAGATGAGGCTTCTTTTCATAATTTCAAGGAAAATTAGTTTCTAATATTTTTATACTAGCACAATCGATGAATCGAATCTAAATAAGAAATGCACTATTTTTTCGATCTAACTACATTACTAACAGATAGATTAATAGTATTAATGTATAATACCGATATAATAGATCATGCGAATTATCGTTATCATTACCATTATACATAGATATCACTATGACTCGATTCGTATAACTCCGACTGTGCTAACTCGTACAAGTCAATAAAAGGTGTTAAGATATTGCAATTCTATTCGCTAAAGATCGGTTCGTTAAACAAAAAATTCAAATTGGTATGACCATAGTCGAGTGAGAGTCCAATCGCTACGTGTGTATACTCTGTCGTTAAACGTTTTCTCTTTCATGAACCAAAATTATGGGCTGTATGGGGTAGACAAATCATACAGAAGTTAGTTACAAAGCAAATGATGGGATGTATGGGGTAGACGAATCATACAAAGTTAGTTACAAAGCAAATTACTACTTTTATTATATTATATAATCTTATGCATAAGGATCAAGTAAAAGTCAAATGTGTACTTGGTGTGTTTCAAGTTTTGGCTTGCAAATTTGTGTACATTAAACTTTTCTCAAATATTATGTTTGATATTAGGTAAATTTCAAATCAAGCATTCCGAACGTCGTATGTCAAATACAAATTTCGTATTGCTATTCATAAACAACTTATGTAATAACTAAGAGAATGGACTAATCAGCTTAAGTAAACAAATGTCATCGTTTAAAATTATATTATATCAAATTCAAGTTAGTCTTTATGTGAGTTTTTACATGCGGAGGGTAATAAAGACCCATTATACTATCATAGAAACAATATTTGGAGTAATTCTGTGCATTTGAAACAATTCTGTGCATTTAAAACAATTTGTAATTCAGTTTAAATAATTACTTTACAGTTCAAACAGAATGGCGAATATATTTGGATAATAATAATATGAACAATATTATGCAAATAGGCGAAGTTGTTTGAATAAACATTTACGCAAACCATATTTCAAGGTTTTTGATGCAATCAACTAACTAATGACTGTTGTTTAGTATATCTGTGATATCTATTTTAGTATATCTGTGATATCTGTAAAGGCTCTATTCCAAAAACTTGTATTTATACAAAACAAATCTCTTCAAAGATTTACTGATTTGGCAATGATCGCTGAGTGTATAGTAAATTTTTGATCAGCCCGGCAAAATAATTCCGACACAAGAAAATGAAATGTGAAATATACGGGAAACAGATGCCTAAATCTAACTTGAAGTACTGATCAAAAATGTCGGTGAGGCAAATTTACACACAATCTCATCTCGAATCCAAATATTGATCCAGATCCTAACCTTAAAAATTAACTTTTAATGTTAATTGACATTACATTAGAATTTTCCGTGATGATCATAAACCCGATTCCGCATAGATTTACTGATTTGGTAATAATCGTTGAACCCGAACGACGGGATATGATAATTTCTATAATTTGTTACTACGAACGTATTACGTACGTACTATGATAATTGCTACATGTACATGTATTTTGTTTTATCACATATTATCTGCATGTTTGAATAAGCTTGGCATCTAATATTTTACACAGTCAGATACGTAAATATTTAAAGAAGCTTGGCAGAATAATTTTACACAGCCAGAATAAATACATGTATTTAAAGAATCTTGGCAGAATATTTTACACAGCCAGAAGAAATACATGTATTTAAAGAATCTTGGCATTTATCTGCTCGTTTAAAGAGGCTTGGCTTAATTATAAAATATGTTTTCAACGCCTGGTTAAAAGCAATACCCTTCAAAAAAGGATGTAACTTGAGTACAAAAAAGTGCTGCTAACCGAAAGAATACGATGTTCTAATAAATTATAGTACGTATTGACAAAGAACTGTCTTTGGCCTAGTTTTATATGAGTTTCATAATACATGTATATAAAAAAGCTGTATATTTGGCTTAATGCATACAATAAACTGACTGCTAGGAAAAACAGGTACATGTATTTCTTTAATTATTATGTCGAAATGATCGAAATACATTTAGTATTTGTGAAATTTAACGAGTTGCAATGATTACTGGGATTACTGCATATCGATACATATAACAATTATAATTGTAACGGAGCTTCATATCAATATTAATACCGATATGTACTTAATATTTACCATTGTAGGCTCGCTATCGATTTGTGAAATCTTCATTACGTACGTAGTGTGTCTTTACCAATGCCTCGCAAATATGAAAGTGGCACCTGTTAAGTACATATGTATCAATATGCAGGATACATGCAGTAATCACAGTCATCATTGTACTCATAAATCATTTCACAAATTCGCCGATCGGACTATTTCAAAAATAGTGTCCAATCACCATCATTACAATTACGTAGTTTCAAATTTATTAAAAATAAATATTTGGGATTCAAATCAACTCTAATAAACAAAAATCAATTGAAAGATAAGTATCAAAGTCAACAAAGAAATGAGAGTTATCGTCCCATTACATCTAGGACTGTTAATCGGTCATAGGACCGAACCGGACCGCTAACAGCCCTATCTCTAGAAAACAATGCAAAGTTTTTTTCCGAAAATGCAGTCGGTAAATTTTTCTAATCTATGTTTTAATTATTTGTAAACATTCTAGGATTGAAGATATTCCTTGTGAGATAAACTTCACAAATTATAATATACTATTTACATAAATAATTAAATGTAAATATAATAAACTAATACATGTACTGATTGTGATACGCTTACTCGTAAAAAAGGGGAACAGGGCATACAAATTTATCATTCCATATGTATATTAACAAACATTTATAAGCAAAGAGATTATTAGCTAATGGCCTTTTCGTTTTTCAGAAAAACTCTTAAAATCTATTTTGCATAAATGTTTATTCAAATGTTTTCGCCCATTCGTATGACTACTATTCACTTTTACGGTAAGCAATGATTCATTGTCGATTTTTTAACTATTAAATTTGTTTAATAAACTAAATTTATATCGAATATATTTAAATGATAAGTGTACAAGCTATTACGTTATAATTTTCGACATTCGGAAATTCTTCACCCAAATACACGTTTGAGACAAGTTGAGACAAGTTGACAAAAACAAATTCAATATCTCGTAAAACTATCTTTGTATAGATCATCCCCCACACCCCACATACACGTATTACGTACATTGTCTCTTGGCTTATTAAGCACGTGTACAAAAGTCTTTGTAATTACATAATTTGAACATAATTTGAACAAAATATAAAGAAATCGAAAATTTCTAACTTTTTTTGAGAAAGTTTTAAAATAATTCTCAAAAAAAATATTTTTAGGTAAATTTATTGAGCATTCAGTTTATTTGACATTGGGTAATATACCTAACTGGCGTAGAAATAGACCAAACGCTAAATAATTTGCGAGTCCACTTTTTATACATAACCGAATTTCCGCATATTTTACATTTAACGTTAATAATTCTGGATCAATTTTTATCGTTATCGGGACGGGAATTCAAATATTATTTTATCCTTCTATCATTGTCAATATCGTCAGCATTGTTTGCATCGATTTATAATAATAAATATAATATGGGAAATTCAAAATCAACCTCAAGAAGACAAGATACTAATGAACGAAAACAACAATGTAACAATCCCAACAGACTAAGTAAAGGATTGTATGAATCCGAATTTGAAATCGATCGGCTGCAACGCCAACACTTTTTCAGCCAACATTTATTCGGAAATAATTTCTCTTGTCCGATTGAGGAGACGCTAAGGCAGGGAGCTCGTGTTTTAGATGGAGGGTAAATCACATTTACTGGATATCGATATGTTAAATCATTTTTCTAATTGCACATTTAATCGTTTTCTCAACGTCTCGTTTACTTTCTAAAAGATGTGGGCCGGGAGCTTGGCTTCTTGACATGGCGACACATTATCCAAGCTCTCATTTCTTTGGTATCGATATCGTCGCAGCCTACCCGAGTCAAATTAAACCGGAAAATGTAAACTTTTATAAGTGTGACTTGATGCGTTTAGAGACATTGGGGTTCGAGGAAAACTCATTTGATATGGTTCGACTGAGCATGATGAAAACTTCGTTGAGTGAGGAAAAATATGCCAAAATTGTCGATAAAATGCTAAAGTTGGTCCTTTTTTTTTTTATCGAGACAAGCACTTAAATTACAAGCAATAATATTTATTTTCCATGATTATTTACTTTGACAGATTATTAAAGCCGGGCGGTTATTTCGAACTTTTGGAAGTAGAAATGACCTCTAACTTTGGACCAAATTTTAAACGAATGAAGAAAACGGGTAAGGTCAAAATTAACTGAGGGTTATAATGATTATTTTTTTATTTTTTACTTTTGTAATTAATCCAGTTTGTAAAAATCATGAACAATAAATTCAGTAGAAATGAGTCTTGGAGAATGCGTCGACCACTCATTAAATCTTGAAAAAATAATTTTCGCCACTGAGCAATTAATAGATATTCAACGAGACGCACGGATTGTAAAACTTGGCCCATCTGGTGGCTTCGTTGGAGAACTATATCTCACCCTATTGGAAGAATTTATTACTGTTTCTATTGGAGAGATGCTAAGGGAGTTCATGGCAATGACCTCAAAAGAATTTGAACTGTTTTGTCAGCAATTTAAAACCGAGTGTCTTGAATTGGGAACGGAAATTCCGTTTGTCAAAACATGGGGACAGAAAATTGCTGTTTGATTTTTGGAGGTTACCCTAGAAAAAAAACATGTTCTGAAAATTTAATATACAGATTTAAAACACTCATTCTCAAACGCCTTATCGTTATAGCTTTACAAAATTTAAGCAATATTTATGCCAAGTTTATGCAAAGATACGAATCTTAATAATTAATTATAAAACATGTCGTATTTAATCTGAAACATGTACTTTAAAAATAGAAATTCAGCAAAGATACCATTAGAAAGTGATTTGGGCAAAAGAACATATGGTTTTAAAAATATCATTTTTTTAAATCTTGAAATCGCTTCCTGATTATTTGATCGTGAAACAGCCTGTTGTTATATTCTCTTTCTTAAATTATATAATGTTTGATTTAAGGAAAGAGGTTGTTAGAGTCGTTAGCTCTTTTAATGAAGCATACAATAATTTTCATACTCTATACAACAAAATTTATTTGTACACATTTGTATTTTTGAGTAGCCACATAATGCTTCTATCAAATTCCTGACGCGTGACAATATGACCGATACACGACTTTGCTGGTAATTTACATTTGCTGTTTTGATTTATCTGACTTATGGAGATTATCGTTAATTATTAACGTTAATGAGCCAGATCAAAAATTGATACCAGTTGCCAAGGGTCATACATTATTAAGTTCAAATTTGTATTATGCTACACAAAATTTATGGGTTAGGTACGTATACGTACCTACCTATATAATTAGTATGGTATAATTATTTTCATGTAACCTGATACAAATTTGGGTTACGTATTGTTGGGTCAAGCAAAGTACATGTACATGTATGATACAGGCAATAAAATCTCAGTATGGTATTTTTTTTACTATACTGAGCCTTTTTCCGAAGCAAGTACATGTACTTGTTATACATGTACTTTTCAACCCATACCATAGTACATGTGCTTTGCTTGAACTGACCAAATGCCCTACAAATTTTGAATTGATATGATTTTGATTTGGTATTTCAATATCGACTTGTACGATGAGAAATGGAAGCTGAATATTTGCACTTCTAAACACATAAATTATAACTTAGTAAGTAATTTACGTAAAATTCATTATTCTATTAGCTGAATGATTAAAATCATGATCATTATGCTTCCCAACTTTTTTTTAAAGCTTTGTATTTCTCACTTAACTCTTACTCCTTTTAGTTTTCATGCCAAGTTTAATAATGATATCTTTTAATTGACCTTGAAGTTTTTCGATGTTTTCTTTGGAGTTTCGGTTAATAAACAGAAACATATCCTTTCCTAATGCCATCTTCAATGTCTCTTTATTTTTCCTAGGGTTTGGTCGGCGGACGTAGTGCTTATTTATTGGCTAGATGTTTGATTCCGAAATAAGGGCTAGTCTTCAATCAGTCTTAATTTGTTCTTAATCCTGCTAGCATAAAAGTACAGTAGTTCACACATGTAACGGAAAATTAACTTTCTAGAATTTTATTTCCATGATTATTAGTTGGAACCAAATAAAAGTGTTCATTTGAAATCTTGAAACCTCTAATATATTTTAAAATAATTTAACAGCAGATTATTTTGTGAAATAGAGTGATTTAAATCAAAATTTACAATTAGTAAATTTCTCACATTGAACAACTTTTTTT